CTAGGCAGCATGGTCCAGAGGTGGCCAGAGATAGGAGGCATTCCAGTAGCATCGATCTTGGGCATGGTGGGAGTTAACACTTGAGAAATAATGCTGGAAAAGCCCCGTTTCCCTCTCTAGTCCCAGCCTGAGTTGCCCAGGAACTCTGCAGAGGCCTTGTGACTGTAACCAGAGGGCTGGGGGCTCCCCAAGCACCCCCTGGAGCAGGGAGAGCATGTTCAGGCCAGAACTCACACCAACCATCTACCTGTGCTAGGAGTGCTGGATAACCCGTGGTACTCCAGGTTGCAGGTGCCCAGGTAGAAGATTTACGAGCCTCCCATCCATGCCATGGGGGGCTCCTGCTGTGGCCAGAGGCCTAGACCAGGTCCCTTGGCCCTTGGCACGTCCATGGTGTCACATCCCACAGCTGCCAGCTCTCCCCTCTCGAACCCTTGGAGGTGGGATTCTTCTTCCCCAGACTGGGCATGGGCTTCCCTTGAACTGCGTGGCTTGAGGTTTGGCACCTGACAGCAAGTAGTTGGCAGCAGAGATGGCTGCTGGGGCACTGGGTACTGAAAGAGGCTTTGCTTCCAGCACGTGGCTGCTCCTTACACTTGGGCAGTGCCAGCCTCCTCCCTGTAAGGACTAATGTGGGGTGGCTGTCACTTTGTAATGTCCTGGGATCTTCTTGGTGGTGGGTGCTGCTGAACAATCCCCCTGGGGCAGGAAACCTCCTTGCCCTGCCCTGGAGCTGGCTGGAGAGGAGGGGTGTGTTCCTCCGTGGGAGGGCTGTTGGAATTTAGTGCCTGGAGCTGATCTGACCAGGCTGTGTTCTTGCAGGTGGAGGAGCTGAATAAAAAGCTGACTCAGCACGAGAAAGCCACCTTGACCCAGCAGCAGAGAGTTAAGGTAAAGAGGGACCAAAAACCTGGGGGCTCAGCTCTTGGGCAGCCCTGGAGCTGTTGGTGCTGCCCAGGGGGCTCACCCAGGGTGTGGAGAGCCTCTGATCCAGTCTCTTCCCTGCCTGCAGGCACTGGAAGAGGAGCTGCAGGCAGTGGCCACCCACCAGCAGGAGAAGGTTGCAGAGCTGCAGGGGCAGCTCGCCCAGAAGGAGCAGGCAGCTGAGCACTACAAAGGGCAGGTATGCCAGGGGCTGGCGTGGCCCCACTGTCCCTGGCACTGCTGGGAAGCTTGACAGGATTCCTCTCATTGACATCCTAGATGGAGAAGGCAAAAACTTACTACGACGCCAAGAAGCAGCAGAACCAGGACCTGGCAGAGAAGCTGAAGGCCATGGAACGGCTGCAGAAGGAGAACACGGAGCTCCGGAGCGAGTCAGACAGGCTGACCAAGGAGCTACAGCAGAGCATCCTGCAGGCCAAGGAGTCGGAGCTGAGCTGCAGGAACCTTACCAGCCAGGTCCGCAGCCTGGAGGCTCAGGTAGGCACGGTGCAGTGGGGCTTCACCCTCCTCCTCTGCCACCTCACTTGGGGGGTCCATCCATCCCTCTGTGCCTCACACCCAGGTGGAGATTGCTGAACGGCAGCTACAGGAGCTCAGGAAGTTCCAGGTGAAGAGCACCTCACTAAAGGACCAGGAGACTTGCCACCAGAACTTGGACCAGAGCACTGACAGCCTCGATGAGGCACAGCCGCTCAACTCTACCAGGTACCAGCCCATCCGGCTGCCAGCACCCCAAAAACCCGCCGTCCTCTTGCTCGCTGTTCCGCAGGGGTCGGGTGAGCCTGTTGGTGCTACGCTCGTCCCTCGTCTCTGCAGGCAGGCTAGCAGCTCGGAAGCCTCGGCAGTGCCACTGGACAGGGAAGAGTCGCTGGTGTCCCAGCGGCTGCCTCGCGAGGTGGAGTCCCTGGAGAGCCTCTACTTTACCCCCATCCCCAGCGGGACACGGTCCAAGCTGGAGAGCAGCACCGACTCCTTGGGCAACCTCTCACTCGAATCCGGGTGCAAGACCCGCTCGGCCCGGCGCCGCACCACCATCAACATCACCATGACAAACGTGAGCTGGGGAATGAGGGAGGGGGAGAAGCACTGCAGGGGGACTTGGGCTGCTGGGGAGTGAATAGCTGGACATGGCCTGACAACGTGCACTGGCAGCCTAAAATCCAACCTTGTCCTGGGCTGGTTCCCAGCAGCATGAGCAGCAGCAGAAGGTGGAGATTCTGCCCCTCTGCTTGGCTCTGGTGAGACCCCAGCTGTAGTGCTGCCTTCAACTCTGGGGTCCCAACATGAGGAGGATGTGGAGCTGTTGAAGCGAGTCCAGAGGGGACCATAGAGATGCTGAGAGGGCTGAAACACTTCTGCTATGGAGACAGCTGAAAGAGCTGGGGGTGTTCAACCTGGAGAAGAGATGGTTCTGAGAACAGAGCCCCTTCCAGGGCCTAAAGGGGCTCTAAAGAGCTGGAGAGGAACTTGGGACAAAGGCCTAGAATGACAGGAGAAGGGGGAATGCCTTCACACTGACAGAGGACACTGCTAGATTGGATACTGGGAGGAAATTCTTCCCTGTGAGGGTGGGAAGGGCCTGGCACAGGTTGTCCAGAGAAGCTGTGGCTGCCCCATGCCTGGAAATGTCCAAGGATGGGGCTTGGAGCAACCTGTTCTAGTGGAAGGTGTCCCTGCCCATGGCAGGGTGTTGGAACCAGATGAGTTTTAGGGTTCCTTCCAGCCTAAACCCATCGGTGATTCCCTGGTCTCTCGATTTTTCTCTCTCAGAAACAGGCCAAGTCTGAGGAACTGGACTGCGTCAACCTCTCCTTCTACAGCATCCCATCAGCTCAGTCCCCGAGCGCTTCCCCTGCCAAGAGACGGCTGCGCTCAGCTGCCTCCACCCGCTCCCTCACCAGCTTTCCCTCCCGGGAAACTCTTGTCAAGCTGGAAACCTCCTCCCCGGAGGAAACCCCTGGCAATTCAGCACTGCTGGGCCTCCCCGGGTACCGGCCAGTCACTCGCAGATCCTTGCGCTTGCAGGGGACCAGCAGCTCCAGCCTCGGTGTGTGTGGGCAGGGTGGGCACCTGGGCTGCTGGCTGTGGGGTTCCACCTGCCTCGGAGGGGGGTCACTTCTTATCTGGGACCCCCCTTTCAGCCTTCCCTGCTTTGCATTTAGGCCGGAACAGCATCTACCTGGGCACGTGCCAGGACGAGCCGGAGCAGCCGGATGACTGGAACCGCATTGCAGAGCTGCAGCGGCGGAACCAGGCCTGCCCCCCGCACCTGAAGACCTGCTACCCCCTGGAGAGCAGGGTACGGGGACACACAGAGGGCGGGTGGCCCCTTCCCCAGAAGTGGGGTTTAGGAGCGGGTCTGGGGGTGGGCAGTGCCCCTCAACAACATCTCCGTGCCCCCTCCCCAGCCCTCCACTTCCTTGGGAACCATCACGGATGAGGAGGTGAAGATGGGGGACCCTAAGGAGACGTTGCGACGCGCCAGCATGCAGCCCTCGCAGATCATCCCCGCCGGCAGTGGGGTGGGCACCCGGCGCAGCACCCTGGGCCACACCTTGGCCGGCATCACCACCCGGCAGCAGAGGAAGCGCCTCTCAGATGAGACCCACCAGGGCCCCGACACCCCCCAGGTGAGCCCAGCCCAGCCCCCACCACAGCACCCTGCAGGGGACACAGGGTTCGGAACAGCTGCAGGTGTTCTCCAGGTTTTGAGGGGGCTGCTGCAGTTCTGGGGGTGGCACCCCAGTGCTCCTACGCTCTCAGTGCTCCTTACTGCTCCTGTTGCCCAGTGCTCCAAATGCTCTCAGTATTCCCAGATGCTCCCAGTGCTTCAAATGTTCCCAATGATCCTGGCATCTAGTGCTGTGTCCAGTATTCCACATGCTCCCAAGGCCACTCCAAGGCTGAGCCTTCTGCCTTCCCTGGGTGCTGCTGCCCTCGCTCCTGTCCCCTCCCTGCAGCCCCTCGGTTCCTTCATTGCTGCCAGCTCCCCAGCAGGGTGACCCCCGGATGACCGTCCCAACTGGTCCCCTCTTTTCTAGTCCAAGAAGCCGACCAGCTGCTTCCCACGGCCCCAGACCACCCAGGACCGCAGTGAGCGGCGCGGCTCCCAGGGCAGCCGGCAGAGCGAACAGCCGACCCCCGCCAAGCAGGTGAGCTCCAGAGGGAAAAGGAGGGGTCGGGAGGGACCTCCCTGTCTTGTCCTGAGCTGAGCTGATGGTCCTGCCCCCTCCCCTGCAGGCTCAGAGGCGCCAGTCGATAGCGTTCAGCATCCTCACCACCCCCAAGAAGCTGGGGAACCGCCTGCTGCGCCGGGCAGCCGCCCGCAAGAGCACTCCCAAGAACACCCCCAGCGGCAGCACCCGCCGCTCGCCCCGCATCGCCACCGCCAAGTCCCCCAAGGGCAAGGTAGGCACTGCCCATACCCCCAGGTGGGCTTCCGAGCACGTGCTCTCTCCAGGGCCCTGGTCACACTCACGGTCACTAACGTCCCCTCTCTGCTCTCTCCCTTCCAGGCCAGTCGCCGATCGCTCAAGGACACAAAATTCTGAGGTTTCCCCAGTCCTTGTGTTGCAGGCTCTGCCCTGGCCCCCTACCTGCACCCCCTTGCCTCTTCTCCCTTTCCCCCCAGTGCTGCGAGCACATCCCCGGGGCCCAGCAGCACCGAGGGGAAACAGATGGGGCCACCCGTGTGACGCTGCCCTGCACGTCCCACTGACAACCACGGGGCTGCCCTGAGCACGGCAGGGCCCCCGTGTCCTTCCTGCACCCATTGTCACCCTAAACCCTCCCGGGACCCAAGGCAAGGGCATGACAGGGAGTGAGGGCTGGAAACACCCGTGGGTGCAGGGGCTGGCACCAGGCTGGGGCTGGAGGGTCTGAGCCCTCCTCAGGGATATCCTGCAGCCCCAGTGACAGGGACAGAGGTAAGACATAGCGTCCCTTGACCTCCCCCCCCACCGCCTCCCCCGCTCCCCCCGTGTGGGACTCCTGCCCCTGCCCTCCTGCAGCTCCCAGGGAAGCCGAGGCAACATTTTTAAATGTTTCTACTTGTAAATAAATTGTATTTTTCTCCTGCTTTAGGGGTACTGGCTTCCTCCTCCTGTGGGCCACATGTGCTGGAACTCCAAGTGGGGGCTTGAGGGGAGGAAAAGTGTGACCTCCTCCTTGTCCCCTCACTGTCCCCACCAGCTGCACAGCGTGCCCCAAGGCAGAATGCTCGACCAGGGAACCTGCTGTGGCACTGGGCAGTCACAGAGCATTTCTCTCTCTCATCCCTCGTTCTCTCCTTTAATTTATTCTTCTCCAGCAGCAACTCCTGCCATTACAGTGTTTCAGGCCCCTTAAGCCCCCGCCCCATACCCAGCCAAGGGGCTGGAAACACCTTCTCCATCCACCCCACCAGTCTTGCCACAAACGTCCTGGGGCTGCTGTGTCTCTGCCCCTCGCTCCTTGCACCACAGCTGGGTCCAGCACTGTGGCTTCAGCCCCCGGGGGGTGGTGACACAGGGTTTGTCCCCGGCTCTGCTGTCCTACTGCAGGTGGTGGGATGAGGACAGCGTCTCACCGCAGGTGCTGGCATGCTGCTCCACCTCTGCCATGCTGAAAGGCAGCTGGCAAATGGGGCAGGACACCCAGGTGTCAGGGGACAAGGAGGGCCAGGCTGCAGTGGGCTCTTCCCCGCAGTGGGAGGCGTGCGTGGGGAGCACATCCAGGAGGAAGCGGCCTGTGGAAAGGAGAGGTGATGTGGTTGTCAGAGGCTCACTGGTGTTGGGATGACACGGGGTTTGGGCTGACACCCTCCCTGAGGGTTTTTATGGCAGAGATAGACTGGGATGCACTGTGGTGGCACCAGCAGGAGGGAGGTGTCTCAGCTGTGGAAATGCCACTGCTGTCCCCATTTGCTGCTTGGTGTCCCCTCGCCACCAGAGGACACCCCTTCCAAGCACCCACCTGAGCAGATGGGGCAGATGCCTGTCTCCCTGTCACCGCTGGCCTGTCCCCTGCCCCTCCTCCTGGCCCGTCTCTCTCGGTGGCCGTGGGTTTGGGCTCTTCCTCTGACCATGGGTGGCCTTGAGGCAGCAGCTGGAGCCCTGCGGAGCGGTCACGTCCTGAAGGCACCCTGTGCCACATTCTGCCAGCCCAAAGGAGTGAAGGGCTGGACCCAGAGCTCTCTGGGGCTGGGAGTGGTAAATCACCAGGGCGAGGGCAGGAAGAAAACAGTGACCTGAGGGATTACCTGCCAGCAGGGCTGGGAGAACGGCACCTGTCTGGCTGCTTGCAGGTGCTTGGGGAGGCTGCAGGGATGTCCTGTGCAGAGCCTGGGAAACGGCAAGTGGGCAGGAACCATGGAGACACGGGATGGTTTGGGTTGGAAGAAACCTTAAAGCTCACATTGTCCCAGCCCCCTGCCATGGGCAGGGACACCTTCCACTAGAACAGGTTGCTCCAAGCCCCATCCTTGAACACTTCCAGGCATGGGGCAGCCACAGCTTCTCTGGACATTCTGTGCCAGGGCCTCCCCAGCCTCACAGGGAAGAATTTCCTCCCAATATGCAATCTAGCAGTGTCTTCTGTCAGTATGAAGGCATTCCCCCTTCTCCTGTCATTCTAGGCCTTTGTCCCAAGTTCCTCTCCAGCTCTTTAGAGCCCCCTTAGGCCCTGGAAGGGGCTCTCAGTTCTCCTCAGAGCCATCTCTTCTCCAGGTTGAACACCCCCAGCTCTCTCAGCCTGGCTCCGTAACAGAGGTGCTCCAGACCTTGGAACACCTCTGCGGCCCCCTCTGGTCTCATTCCAGCAACTGTATGTCCTTCTGATGTTGGGGGCCCCAGAGCTGGAGGCAGCTCTGTAGAGGCAGAGCAGAGCAGAGGGGCAGAACCCCCACCTTGCACCCTGCTGCCCACAGTGCTGGGGATGCAGCCCAGGACACAGTTGTACAGGCTCACCCTCTGGCACCACGGGACCTCCCAGGTCCTTGGCTGGCAGCTCTGGGTCACCCCCCGGCCTCAGTGCCCGACTCCGTGCTGCCAACAGCACCATGCGGGCCGGGCGGCTGAGGCAGGCCGGGCTCCCAGCACCCCCTTCCAGCTGCCACAGGCGGCTCCTCAGCTGCTCCTCTGCACTGGATCTCCTGGGGACAGGGAGGGTCAGGCTCGCAGGAGGGGACAGCCAGGGCTCTGGGCTCCAAGGCGGCACCTCCAGGGGCTCCAGGCCCCGCTGCACAGGGAGAGGATGGGATGGATCAGACCAGGCTACTTACGAGTGTGTTTTGGGAAAAAACGTCTGGTGGAAGTCAGGGCTGGAGCAGCAGGGGCTGTCTGAGGGCTCAGCATCCTCCTGTGGGACAAGGGGACGCCCCAGGCAATCAAGCAGGAATCTTCTGCCCACTATCTTGGCACAGCCCCTGGTTCAGCCCAGCGAGCATTCTCCTGTGCTCTCCGTGGGGCACGAGTGGCACCCGTGGAGGAGCTGCCCCATCCCCACGGCCTCCCCATGGACAGGAGGTGTACACGGAGGTGTGAGAGGCACCTACCAGGCCCAGGGGTGGCCGGGGGGGCTCAGGCTCCTGCTCCTGGGGCGTGCGCAGGCGAATGAAGGAGAGCCCGAAGCGGCTGCGTGGGCTGAAGGGCTGGCTGCAGGTGAGCCGCAGGCGGTCCCAGTGCTGCCCTACCGCCGGCACCGGGAAGTCTGCTGTGGGGGAGAGCACCTGGGGTGGAGGGGACGCAGCAGGGACCACTGTCCTGGCACTACTCCCATCTCTGCTTGTCACCCTGTCACTGTGACACTCAGGAAACAGCAACAGCTGGGAGATTACGGGCACAAGAAAGGCTGGGGTAGGGGAGCAGAGCTGGTACGGCTCTCCCAAGGACAACCATGACCCCTGGTCTACCTGTCCTCTTCTGCCTCCCCCACCAGCCCCCCATCCTGCCCCTTTGCCAACCCCCTAGCCAGCCCCCCATCCTTTTGCCAGCCCCCTCATGCCTTGCCAGCCCCCCCAGCCAGCCCACCACCAGGGCCATAGCTCTTCCCTGTGCCTTTTTCCTTCGGATCGATCTTTACCTTCCTTAAACATCCGGACCCCGCAGCGATTCCGGCCCAGCTTTGAGTCGTCCGGCGTCATCAGCGTGACGGTGGGCACCAAGGTGAGGTAGGGCTGGTCACGTGGCCACGAGGAACGTCCCACCTCGATCTGCAGGAAGGCGCAGCCGTAGTTCCCTGGGGAACAGTGGGAAGCACAGGGGGTTCAGAGCTGCTGAGCCCATCGGGGACACAGCCCTGCCTCCTGCACGGGGATGGGGACGTACCGATGTCCACGTAGCCGATGGGACTGGCTCTTTCCAGCTGCAGCTCCACGCTCAGCCGCGTGCTGCGGTCCTGGGGGCAGCCGAGCCAGGGCTGGACACTGCCCTCACTCAGCAGGTTCTCCGCCGGGTACTTGGGGTCCTGCACGCACAGCAGGGACATGACATGGCTCCCTCCCTGAATGCCTTCCCCTCCGGCTCCAGCTCACTCTGGGCCCAGGGGAGAAGCAGGGAATTCCCTGGTAACCCAAGGAACAACACCCCGCTTTGAGAATTGCCTGGAATTCCTGCCCTTCAGCCCCACTTAGTGCCCTTCAGCCTAACAAGGAAAGCTGGTGCTGCACCCTGTCGCACCCCCACCCTCCTCTTCAGAGAACCCAACAGCTCAGGGGGAACAAGCCCCCCTGGAGGAAACCCCCAGGTACCTGTGAGGAGAAGGACACCACGTAGCTGATTTTGACTGGAGCCATTCGGGATTCTCTAGAGTCAGTGTCCTGCTAGGACACAGATTCCCCTCAGATCCCTCCAGTGCCTAGTGGGGAAAGAAGACAGGTCTGTGATGGGCTCGGGTGTCTCCCAGCTCTGGCACTATTCAGCAGCTCCCAGCCTCAGCCCACAAGCCCTCAGCAGTTCCAGTGCACCCCAGTCCCACCTCACTGCCTCAGTGCCCCCAGACCCGCCCCACCACCCCTCAGCCTTGCTTTGCCACAGCAGTAATCCCCCCTACAGCTGGCTCACGATCCCCCATCCCCGTTCGGCCACCCCTGTGTCCGCCGCTCACCCCACAACCCTCCCATCCCCGGGTGCCACCCACATCCAGCCCACAAGCCCCAGCCCCATTCTGTCACTCCAGTACCCCCCAGTCCTTCCCCACAGCTCCCCTCACCCCCCGTGTTCCCAGACACACAAACGCCCCCAGGGCTATTCATCGCAGTAGCCCCACAGTCCTCCACCTCGACCCCAGCCCTATCAAACCCCGGCTGTGCCCCGCAGCCCCTCCACGCCATCCCCCCGCGGCAGTGCCCCCGCAGCCCAACGCCCCCCGGCCCCTCAACGCACCGATCCCAAAGCCCGAATCTCCCGCCCGAACCGCACGGCCCCGCCTCCCGCTCCCCGCCGTCCCCAGCCCGGCCCGGCCGCGGGGCCTGACGGGACTCGTAGTCTGCGGGCCGCGCAGGGCCCCTCGCGGGCGGCGTTACTGACGGCGCAGAGCAGGGAGGCGGCGGCGGGAAGGGCGGGCGGGCGGCCCGGGGGCACCGAGCCCGCGGCGCTGCGAAGGGCAGGCGGGCCCGGCCGGGACGGCTCCCCCGCGCCTGGCACGCGTCCCGCCCCTCCCCGCTCCCGATTGGCCGCCGGGGCAGCGCCGCGCGCGGGGATTGGCCCAAGAGCGGCGGCTCGCCCGGTGATTGGCGGACGGCGGCGGAAGGAGCTGGCCGCTGGGGGGGCGGGGCAAGATGGCGGCGGTGCTGGAGGTGGAGGTTGGCGGCCCCGTCGAGCGCGATGTGGAGGAGGTGTGGGGGCCGCGCCGGGCCGGGCCGGGGGCAGCCGCGGAGGGGAGGGGGAGGCGGCTGCGGGGCCGGCAGCTCCCCCGCGGGGGAGGCTGGAGGGGAGCCGCTCGGGCGCGGGGCCTGGGGGGCGCGGGGGAGCGGAGTCGGGGTGTACGCTGAGGGGTTTTGAGGGTCCCTGGAGTGGGAGAGAGGGAGTCTGGGGCACTCTGAGCTTGTAGGGCTTTGGGGCAGGTGAGCGTGGGGAGGGTTAGTGTGGGGGGGGGGGCTCTGGGGATCCCTGGCGTAGGGGAACACTGAGCGTCCCGGGGGCAGAGGGGCACTGGGGGCTTCGGGAGGCCCGTGGGGCAGCGGGACAGTGGAGGTCCCGGGGGCAGGAGGGCGAGGATGGAGGCTCGGCTGTTGTTCCCATGCTGGCTTTCTAGTGTTCCTGGGGATGAAAAATCACGAAGTTGGAAACAAGAAATCTATTTGGAAAGCTGGAACTGGGAGCAGGGTGCTGTGTGTGCCACGGGCACTGGCACTGATGCCCCGGGCTTTGCAGGGGCTCTTCGCCGTCCTCTGTGCTTTATGCTCAGGAGTTTTCTTTCCACTTGTGGAGAACCAGGAGAATCTGGGTCTGTTCTGTGTGGAGAACGTGGTTCCATCCTGCCTGCACTGTGTGTTACTGTGGGTGACTGCTGGTGCTTTTTGGTGCTTTTCCTCAAGAATAGGTGGTTTCGCTTAAAAATTCTCAGATGCTGATGGTTATGTTGGAGAAGATTCCTGCCAGAGTCAAGCTGTGGAGATTCCCTGGTGTATGGCTGAACTGTGGGAGCTTGTGCCTCCTCCCCACATCCTGTGTTGCTGTCAGAGGGCAGGTGCAGTGGGGTGATGGAGATTTAGACCACAAAGCAATCACTGTCGAGTTGCTACTGGTTATATTTCTAAGATATTTTCTGGTGACTTTGTATGTAAAAATGTGAAAGATCCAAGGTCTCTGATGCTCAGAAGTGGAATTCCCATTTTTCATTCTGTCAGGAAGCTACTTTTGGGGCTGGCAGTGAGGGCGTCAGGAGGTGGCAGCGGGTGAGGGAGTGTATATAGGACCTGTGCTTATCCCTGTGATTCCACACGATCCGTGTCCGTCAGGACAAAACCTGTCTGCTTGTGTTGTCCAGAGGTCCTGGCAGCTCTTTGGGCAGAGCAGGTTGCTGATGAATCACTAACAGTGAGGACCTGAAAGCAGTTTAACATTCCCCTGGAATAAAGCCGAGTGTCCTGTGGCTCTGGCTCTGCCTGCGGGGAGCTTGGGCCTTCAACAAATGTTTAGTTTCCAATTATCCAAGTGTTTGATCAGTTGGGACCTTCCTCCTCCCTGATCCTTGTTCCTGCGCTGTTTTATGAGCAGGAAGAAAGCAGAATTGAGATTCCAAAATCTCTCCAGACTTTCACTGAAGAACATGCCTCTTCCCAACCTGCCTTGGTTGAACTTGCAGCGCTTTGAGATTTATCTTCCCATTATGTCAGGTTGTTCCTAGTGGGTGCTGTGAGACAAAGACTGAGGCTGGGGCTGTGGGAAAGGTGAGATCAGGGCTGGTGGCTGCTCTGGAGCTTTGAACTGAATTCAGCAGCTGCTTATTCTCCATCCTCAAGGCATTCTCCTTGCCTCCTTCACAGATTTAGAGCCTAAGGAGATTAGAGCCGGCTCACAGCAGCGTGTGTGTGCCTGGGGATCCCCCCAGCCCCCTGGGCTCTGAGGAACGGGTGGTTCTGGTTTTGGTGCTGACCCTGTCAACAGCCTTTGCGTTTTCCTTGAGGGGGTAATTCCATTGACTGTCCCAATGGTGGGGATCACAGGTTTGTGGAGGCTTTGGGGCATCAGGCCCTTAAAAAAATGGGGAGTGGCACGAGGTTCTTCCAAAGGCCATCGTACCACGTCCGAGGAGATGATTAGACTTTAATCCAAGGTATCCAGTTTCTCCCAGTCATCACACAGAGGAGGTTGGGGTTTTTAAGTGGATCGTGAGTTGCAGAAGAGGCAGAGAGCGGAAGAATCATTCTTAATTCCTAATTTTTTTTTAAAAAAAGCTTTTCTAAGAGCTGTAGTTGGTTGCACACTGGGTCCTGTGTTGCTGTGGCAGCTGGAGGAGGCTGCAGCAGGAGTGGGCTGCTGCTCAACACTTGATAGAGCTGGTCTTTAGCTGCTTCACCCTCGTTGTTCTTGTCTAACCCCTCTGGTAGAGATTCACAAGCAGAGGTTCTTCAATGTTGTCATCAGAGATAGGAAGAGACCCAAAAACTGGGTATTAAAATAAGACAACCCCGAACTAAAAATAGAATGAATGCTTGCTGGTGAGCCCAGGTGCTTCCTTCACCATCACTGTTCATTTTTAGCCCCAACCCAAAACTTGTGTGCTAAGAGAGTGTGCAGATCAAGGAGGGGTTAGCTGGAACATCTTGCTTGGGGGGGCTGCTGTGCCAAGTCCTGTCTGACAGCCATCAGGTGCCTCCCAACATCCCTTATGTCATGTCCTGGCCCCCCTTAATAAAGTTATTTCAGGAGCTTTGAGCTCTGGGAAATCTGGTGAAGCTCAGTCCTTGTGATTGAGGCAAAATTGTGTCTGGTGCTGTGGATCCGTGGTTGGCTTGGAAGCACAGCTTGGAGGAACCTCTGTGGAATATCAGCAGGATTTCCACAGGATTTGGGGCTGCTGGAAGAATTTGGAGATTTGGGGAAGATGCTGAAGCAAAGAGGCTGGGAAGTGTTTCCCAAGGCAGGACTGACTGTGGGTGGCGTGGCTGCTGGTGTGGTACAGAGGAGTGAGCAGAGCCGCTGTATAGGGATAAAAAGATTGATGTGGTTGGAAGGTGCTTGTCAAACATCCTCATTCAGCAAGGATGGGGCCAGAGCCTGGGGGGAGCAGGGATCTCCTGGGGGGAGGCAGTGGAAGCACCTGTGTGACTGCCAGAGCTTGCAGAGGGATCGACCTACACTGAAGCCAACAAGCGCTTGGGGTTTCTCAGCTTCTCCTGCGTGCAGTGACTAGTTTTTAAATCTCTTTTTTTCCTGTCTGTATCAGAACAGTTGTTCTTGCTCCAAATTGTGTCACAGCAACCGAACTGATGGATCTGGACTGGCTGTTTTAGGAGCAGAGGCACTCGGGGAATTTGGTCGATACAAACACCCTTCTCGGTGTCGGTGTCAGGTTGTCACTGCCTCCCCACGGGTTCTGACACAAGCCAGCGAGCTCCAACACGGATTTTCGTGGCTCTAGATTTTGCATCTAGGTCCTGAAGTACTTCTCAAGGGCCTCAGGAGCTGAATCTCTCGCAAGTGTTGCTCTGGGGTGAAGCTCAGCAGATGTTCCACATCAGGCAGTCAGATTGCTGCTGTGTGTCTTTCCTGCCTCCTCACCCTGGAGTGTAATTAGGCACCGCAGGGGAAGCAGGGCAGCTGTGTGTGCCCTCAGCCAAGCCTGGCTGTGATGGGAGCTGCTGGCTGTGACACACCTTTGTGCTGGCAGTGGTGCCCCGGGCAGGCGAGGCTGAGGGCTGTGCCATGCCGGGGAGAGCCCTGGGGTAAAGGTTGGAGCCAAGCCCATGGCCCAGTACCCTGTGGGGCGAGGTGGAGCCTGTTCCTGTGTACACATCTCTGCTGTGTGTACAGGGCAGAGTGATATCAAAGTCCCTGCTATGGCTTGTTTCCAATTTCCATCCCCAATGCCTGGGCAATGCTGGAGTGTTTCCGACCCCGTGAGGATTTCTAAACCCCATGTGTACATTCCCAGCCCCAGACGAGCTGCTCTTGGTTTAATCTGAGTTTATGTCTCACTAAGAAAAGGCAACGGGACCCAGAGCTGCGGGATTCCCTCCCTAGTGCTGTGGGTCAGTGTGCTGCCCGGTCTGTGAGCCCATGTGGGGACATGATTGGGGCTGGAGGGTCCTCAGCAATTAGGTGAAGATTTTGTGAAGGTAAAGATTTTGCCCGGAGAAGCTGTGGACTCCCTGTTCCTGGAAGTGCTCAAGGCCAGGTTGGATGGGGCTTGGAGCAACCTGGTCTAGTGGAAGGTGTCCCTGCCCGTGGCAGGGGATAGGAAGGAGAGCTGTAAGGTCTTTCTGACCCAAACCATTCTGTGATTCGATGATTCTGTATAAAGCTCCAAGTGAAAGCTGAAATGTAGTGTCAAAGCTCCCCCCACTCCTCCCCTGTCCAAAGGCAAGAGTATTCACACAAAATCTCACTGGAGAAGATGGATTACATGAGCCCATTGTCAATCATCACTAATAACAGCAGCTCCTGTCACTCTTGGGTTGCTCCTGCCCGTTACGTTTGGGAGGAACTTCCAACCATCTCAGGAAAGCAAGGCATAAATCTTTCTTTTTCTGTGATTTTGAACTTTTTTTTAGCACTATTTCGTTGCTGGTGTGCAGATACTGTCCCCTGTCCTGCAGCCTGGTGGGATTTTGGACTGTGTTTGCATTGGCTACACTGGGATGACCATTCCGTGCCCCGAGATGCCAGGCAGGGTTTTGAACATGGGATTTAAACCAATTCTCTGGTAGTGGTGGTGTGGGATAGTGGGTAGAGCCTCAGCTCCAGTAAAATAGGGAAGAGGAGGTGGCAGAGGAGCAGGGGGGCTCACCTGTGCGGCCTGGGAGGGTGAAGGACAACTCTGGGCTGTGCTGTCACCATGGGCACATCCAGGTTTGTTATTTAAAGTATCTGAATCCAGAGATTCCTTCTTCAGGTTCTCAGAGAGCAATCCTGGAGGTCCCACGGGATGGCTGTCAGCACGGATCAGGGTCTCACCAGGAGATAAAGGAGCTGGGTGCTGTGTTTGTTGTGGTGAACAGGCAGCACAGGCACACAGAGTCCTGCTCGGGTGGGCACCAGCCAGCACCGTGCTGCTCAGGAAGGGGAAGGCAACGAGTTACCCATTCTGTGGTGCTGCTGCTGCTCCCAAACTCCAGTGGCTGGTTTCATGGGTGTTTTTCTTGTCTCCCTAGGTTGACCTCTCGCACTTGTCCCCAGAGGAGAGATGGAGGTGAGTGTGCTGGGAGGTGAATCAGTGTGTACAGCTGGAGCGAGCTCCTGCTCCGGGCTGGAGCCACTGGCAGCACAGCCCGTGTTCACAGTGGGAAAGGACAGGGTCAGCAGTTTTTGCTGAGGGGAAGTATGAACTGTCTTAAAAGGCATGTTTTTTCTTTTAAACTACTTGCTAAATATTAGAATCACAGAATATTTTAGGTTGGAAAAGCCTTCTGAGACCATTAGGTCCAAGCATTCCCCCAGCACTGCCAAGGCCACCACTCACCCAGGTCCCCAGGCACCACATCCACACCTCTGTTAAATCCCTCCAGGGATGGGGACTCCCCCAGTGCCTTGGGCAGCTGTGCCAGGGCTGGACAGCCCTTTCTGTGAAGAAATTTTCCCAAATGTCGAACCTAAACCTCCTGTGGCACTATCTGAGGCTGTTTTCTCTTGTTCTGTCAGTTGTTACCTGGAAAAAGAAACCACCCCCCATCTCAATCAACCCTCCTGTCAGGGAGTTGCAGAGAGTGAGAAGGTCCCCCCTGAGCCTCCTTTTCTCCAGGCTGAGCCCCCCCAGCTCCCTCAGCCTCTCCTCATCAATCTTGTGCTCCAGACCCTTCCCCAGCTCTGTTGCCCTTCTCTGGACACCCTCCAGCCCCTCAATGTCTGCCTTGTAGTAAGGGGCCTCAGAAATCCCCCTTTTCCTTAAGGTAAACCAATTTCAGCCAGATGCTTATTGAAAATCACAGTGAGACTGGTCTCTCGGTATTGCACCAGTACAGGCTGGGGGTCGACCTGCTGGAAGGTGGAAGGATGCTCTGTGGAGAAGGACGTGGGGGTCCTGGTGGACAACAAGCTCCCTCTAAGCCAGCAGTGTGCCATGGAGGCCAAGAAGGCCAGTGGTGTCCAGGGGGGCATTGGGAAGAGCATTGCCAGCAGGTTGAGGGAGGGGATCCTGCCCCTCTGCTCAGCCCTGATGAGGCACATCTGCAGTGCTGTGTCCAGCTCTGGGCTCCTCAGGACAGGAGGGACATGGAGCTCCTGGGGCAGGTCCAGCGGAGGCTGCAGAGATGCTGAAGGGATGGAGCATCTCTGGGAGCAGGAAAGGCTGAGGGAGCTGGGGCTGTTCAGCCTCCAGAGCAGACCCTGAGAGGGGCCCTCCCCAGGGTGTGTCAGTGTCTGCAGGGAGGGGGCAGAGGTGGAGCAGGCTCTGCTCAGGGGTCCCAGCAATGGGACAAGAGGAACGGGCAGGAACTGATGCCCAGGAAGTTCCAGCTGAACATGAAGAACTTCCCTGTGCAGGTGATCATGCACTGGGACGGATTTCCTAGAGAGGGGGTGGAGTCTCCCTCACTGGAGATATTCCAGAACTGTCTGGACACAATCCTGTGCCATGTGCTCTGGGATGACCCGGCTTGAGGAGGGATGTTGGACCAGATGACCCACTGTAGTCCCTTCCAACCTGACGCATTCCCTGATTCTGTGATTCTGTGTTAATTTTTAGAGGATGACTTAAAATCAGAGAATTTGGCATATTTATTGTGTTTGGATTTTTTTTCTTCTAATTTGAACCGTATTATCACCTGGAGACCAAGACATAAGGATGTCACAGCTCTTAATTCCACCTTGCTTTTTGGTCAAACAGCACAAGCTGCAAAGAAACCCCAGGTATCTGGGCGAGCATCAGTCTGGAAATCACTTGTTCCAGCATGCTCATGGTGGAGAGAAGCGATTTGCTGGTACTTGGGGGTTTTGTTAGGTGTCAGCTATCCCCCACCCTTGACCCTTGCAGCCTTTCCCTTGCTGGGCAAGAGGGAAAATGGTGTTAGTGGCTCTGAACCTGGGCTGAGAGTTTGGTAATGAGAATTGACACACTCTCAGGGGGTCAAACATTGCAATGTGCTCTAGGAGGACCGTGCTTCATCAGGGAGGTTGGAACAGATGACCCCACCAGTGGTCCCTTCTAACCTTGCCCGTTCTGGGACTGTGAGTTATGTGGACCGTACACTCCATGTTCGTTAGTTCAGGCAGGTCAGTGGGAGTTCTCCACCTCATTCACACCTGGATGGGCTGGGTGTTGTTCTTGACTTTCACAGCGTAGAAATGAGCTGGTCCCAGAGCAACCTTTTGTCCTTTCTCCTGTGGATTGTTCACAGCCCCTGACTCCATGATTCTTCTTTGGGCTGTTTTCCTGTTTCCCGGCTCTCCCGAGGTGTCTGTCCCCCACTGTGCAGTCTCAGCCGCCTTTTCCCGGTTGTTGCAGGGTGGAGCACGCACGGATGCACGCCAAGCACCGCGGGCACGAGGCCATGCACGCCGAGATGGTGCTCATCCTCATCGCCACGCTGGTGGTGGCACAGCTCCTCTTGGTTCAGTGGAAGCAGCGGCACCCTCGCTCCTACAACGTAAGTGACCCCCCGCAGCTGTTCCGCCCGAGGCTGGATGTGAGCCTTGACTGACACCCTCCTCTTGCCAATGAGAAGTGTGTTCCTGGTTTTCCTATTGTCTGGTGTTGGGATTCCCTTGACTTCCCAGCAGCATGGGGGGATTTTAAGTAGGGGTGAGGATGGATGGACCTGAAGGCCTCAGGTTTCGCTGGAAGCGATACCAATAACTCCATGTGACATGGTGCCTTGGCACCCGGGATTGACAAGCAGATCTCAGATGTCCAGAGGGAAGCTGCATTTTGTGGGTGCTTCCTTGGAAGCAATGAGAGCTCCTTGCTGCCAGGACCCTGGGTTTGATGGTACCTGCAGCACTCTGCCGAGCAGACCTGCCACTTGCCAATGCCACCAGCTGGGTGGCTGGGTCTGTTATTTAACTGAACCAACTTCACTCTGACTTCCTTTTCATAACAGTAATGATAATATTATCATAATCGATGTTTCCTGGGAGTACCTGTAATCCTCTGTGAACTTTGAACCGAACCTGCTTGCCTGTTTCCCTCCGGCGGCACCACGAGAGCTCAGCTGCACAGCTGTAGATCCATTTGGGAATAGGCTGGAGTGCAGAGACAAGCCAAAACCTCGCCTTGTATAATACCTGTCTGTGGCTGCAGCGTCAGGACCCTGGGAAGGCAAAGGTTTATGAAGCTGCCTTACAACAGCTGGTTGGGTGGACCATCTCCTGTACCTTACTCTGGAGATGGTTCCTCTGCATTCTCCCTCCAGCTCTATCCTTTGCTACCAAAAATCACCTGACTGCTGCCTCTGACTCCCTCACAAAATCACAGAACTGTTTGGGTTGAAAAAGCCCTCCAAGATCATGGAGTCCAACGAGCACTGCCAAGCCCACAACTAACCCTTGTTTCCAGGTGCACATCCACATGTCTTTTAAGTCCCTCAAGAGATGGTGACTCCACCGCTGCCCTGGGCAGCCTGTGCCAGGGTTTGATCACCCTTTCAGGGAAGGAATTTTCCCAATATCCAACCTAAACCTTCCCTGACACAACTTGAGGTCATTTCTTCTTGTCCTGCCCCTTGTTACCTGAGAGCAGAGCCTGACCCCACCTGGCTCCCCCCTCCTGTCGAGGAGTTGCAGAGAACAAGAAGGTCCCCTCTGAGCCTCCTTCTATCCAGGCTGAGCCCCCCCAGCTCCCTCAGTTGCACCCCATCAGACTCATGCTCTCAGCCGAGCTCTGAGCTGTTTTCTGGGTGCCACAGACCAATCTCTGCAGTTTCCTGGTGCTTTTCAGGGCCCTTTGATGCAGGCAAGAGAATGGCTGCCACGACTGTCAGGATGTTTCTGATGTCTGAGGAGCAGAGAACCAGCTCCGAGTGCCTTTCCTCTGTTCCTGCAGATGGTGACCCTCTTCCAGATGTGGGTAGTGCCTCTGTATTTCACGATCAAGCTGTACTGGTGGCGGTTCCTGGTGATCTGGGTGCTCTTCTCAGCAGTCACAGCTTTTGTCACCTTCAGGGCAACTCGAAAGCCTCTGGTACAGACAACACCCAGGTTCGTCCGTGTGTTCCCGAGGAAACTTCTCGGCCCCAGAGTAACCATTACAAGGAGTTTTTTCCAGTTTCCCTGCCACAGATGACTGTGTTAAGCTTTGCATCCTGGGAGCCTGGTGTGAAGGACTTTAGTGGCTGCTGGCAGCCAGCCCGATGCACCTGGTACCCGGGTGGGTGGTGGAAAGGCGGATTCCACGTGGGCTGGTAGCCTCACCCAGGGCATTCCCGGTGTGCAGCATGCTTCCTTATGGCCTTTGGAGATCCTGAGGTTTCTAGTTTGGAAGTCAAGACTGTGAGCAGCCCATGGCAGGTTGAATTAGGAATGTAAAGCTCTTGCCCATGTGTAGGGGTAGGTGATGTGTCTGCAAAAACACTGTGGGTTTGAGAAATAAAACTCTTCGGGTGATTGGCACGATTTCATTCAGGAAGAAATGAAATTGTTAAATTCTTTGTTTTAATTCTTTACAGGCTGGTTTATAAATGGTTTCTACTAATATACAAGATCAGCTATGCAACTGGGATCGTGGGGTACATGGCTGTCATGTTTACACTCTTTGGTCTTAACTTATTATTCAGGTGAGTGAATCTTTCCCACTCCTGGGGCAATGAGGTCTAACATGCCATTGAGTATTACTCTGGAAAAATAATTGTCTTGGCAATCTGATTAATGGCACCAAAGAGACTATTGGGGTGTCCTTTTGCTCCTGAGAGGATCATGGGTGAGGTGCTGGTACCTGAACTGGTCCAGGTTGCTGGAGAGCCCTTTTTCCAGCTCAGCTGTTGGCACCTCCCTCAGCTCTATGGTGTCCAGTCTGGGGGCAGCAGTGGGATTTTCTTTGCTATACTGATGAAGTCGTACCTGCAAGAAGCAGCCAGCCCAGAGGTGACGACAGAGGAGTCTAGTCCAAGCCAGCTTCATGTTTAGAGAGGTTGAACACTTCTCTGGAATATTCTCTAGAATCTTATGTTCTCTGGAATATGATAAGAGCGGCTTTGCCCTCAAAAAAACCTCTTGATGGTTGGGCTCTTCTGTTGTAGAATCAAACCAGAAGATGCAATGGACTTTGGCATCTCCCTCCTCTTCTACGGTCTTTACTACGGAGTGCTGGAGCGGGACTTTGCCGAGATGTGTGCGGATTACATGGCCTCGACCATTGGGGTGAGTTCACCAGGGGCTGTCCCCCAGGCCAGAGTCATCCCCCAGATTGGGGGGCCTGAAACATGTTGGTCCCGGCAGCAGCTTTGTCCTCCCTCCAGTGGGAAAGTGCATCAAACTTCCCTGGCTATAAGGTAGCAAGAGTTGCTCTGAGAACCTTCCTGAAGAGCGAAGCCTCTACTGGGTCCCCTCAGCCCCAGAAGGACAAGATGTACTTCCCCAGGAACGCGGTGTGGCACTGGCACAGGTTGTTCAGAGGCTTTTGCTGTCCCTGTGGACAGAGGGCTTGGTGGCCCAAAATCTGTAGCCCACTCGTGTGGTATCAAAATAACCCAATCCACTAAAAATATGTGACGTAGGACACCAGTGAAGTAGGTCATATTTCTTCTTTTCAGCAGCTGTTTAGGGTCTTGGACTTTGTCTTTCCTCCTCCTCTTCCTTTCTGAGCTTTCTGTTGCTACTTCTTGAGGTTCTGCTCCAGCTTTTCACAGGCCACACTGCAACACCTTGGCACAGCTCAGGTCTCTCTCAGATCCCCAGGGCTCTGTCGGATGCTCAGAGCAAAAATGTGCCAGGACTCTGAGGGAGGCATGTTTTTGCTGATGATACTAAACCAGGAGAGGCTGTGGCCTCTTAGGAGTGAGAGCTGGACAGACGAGAGAGCTGGGCAAGCTTCAGCCATGTGAAATTTAGCAGGGCAAGTGCCAAGATTCTCCTTCTGGGGTGGCATAATCCTGGTTATAGATACAAATTTGAAGACAAGAGCCTGGAGAGAGTCCCGTGGAAAGGGATTAGGGAGCTGGGGTTGAAGCAAGTCCCTCAGCACGGGAAGGGGGTGTGTGGGGCTGGGATGTGATGGGCCACCGCATCACTGAGCAGCTCCCTGTCCTGTTGTAGTTGTTTCCCGCAGCCGGACCTGTAACAGGGTTTTTAAGCCCCAAAGGCCGAGGCGACTCCCGGGGTGCTGCCCCCAGCCCACATTAGAGCTTAGCCGTGCCACCGCGGGCATGGGACACGTGCCCTCCCGCTGTCACCGCTCTCCCTCTGCTCTGCCCTCGCTCAGTTCTACAGCGCCTCGGGAATGCCCACCAAGCACCTCTCCGACAGCGTCTGCGCCGTCTGTGGCCAGCAGATCTTTGTGGACGTCAACGAGGAGGGGATCATTGAGAACACCTACCGCCTCTCCTGCAACCACGTGTATCCTTCTCTGCGGGTGCCAGCCCCTCACCTTGCTGGCCCCACGCTGGGGTGGGCAGCAGGGAGCTCCTGCTCCCACGGCTTCTCCCACAGTGGGTGAAGAAATGCCGGTCCTGGGACTTGGGGCTGTCTGGCTGAATTTGCATGTGATCCATGGCTGTGTCCTCACTGACTCAGCATCCATGAAATCACTTGGTTGTCACCTCCATGTGCATCACAAGTGGTTATTTCCTCTTTCTTTCCCTCCCCAGCTCCCTCTGCTTGGCCACGGAGCTGCACCTCACTTTCCACCTGCCTTTGCCAAATCCGGTGTGACCTATCTGCCTGGCAGTGGCAGCTCTGATGGTCTGAGGTTGGAATGTGCCCTGCTCTGTGCCATGCTGGCCCCTCATCAGAGACCCAGTGCAGTGGGTCCTGTCTGAGTCTCCGTAAGGAAAAATCAGGGGGAAACACTGCTGGCCTCCCTCTGAAAACAGCCCCTGGGTCCAGCACTGCTGGTCACTGCCTGCTCTGATCACAGCCTGGCAGCTTCCTCCTTTCCCAGAACTCCTCCAGGGTTTCCAGGACTCTGGAGTCACTCAGCCCTTCCCATCAGCTGATTGATGTGAAGTGGGTTTTGAAACTGGAAGTCCTGGTTGTTGCTCAGCCCCAGCTGAGATGGGTCAGGGTTTTTTCTCTGTGGTGACTCAGCCTGGAAGTGGAATGTCCTCTGGCACCGTGTGCATTACTGCCTGCAAGGTGGTTTCCAAACTGGGCCTAGGCAAAGGTCATGCTGGCAAAACTCATGGCCTAAATTTAACTGTTAGGGACTGTTTGTGAGATTTATGGGTGACTCGTGCAGAGTCTGGGACTATGGCAGCACGGGGTTGTGTGGTTGTCAGAGGAGCTGGTCTATGCTCATGGTGGTCCTCTGGGTGAGGGCTGGCTGGGCACCCCTGGATCTATGGCTCCAGGGCTGACAAGGGAGTGACTCCTGTTGCTGATTCACTGGCATTCCCCCTTGGTTTGAGCAGCAGAGAGATTCTGGGGGAAGTTTGTTTGCTCAGTGACACCCTTGTGCGTGGCAAGTTGGCTGCAGCCACCTCATGTTTCCCTGTAACTTCCCCAGGCAGTGCTCAGTTGTGCACACCCTTGTGACGGAGCATAGCAGTAAGTCAGACCCTGGGAGAAATTCCATAAATATGTTGTCAATCCCCAAGAAGCCTTTGAAGAAGGCTTCCAAAATGCACACAGTTCACAGAACTCTCCCAGACTGTCTGAACCTTCCCAGTGTTGGGCACCATCAGTGAAGGGTTTCAGTCTCCCTGGTGCCCATGCATTGGTCGGGCCATCATTCTGCCTCCCTGGTCCCATCCTGCTGCCCTGTGAGCCCCTTCTGCTGTCCCTGGAAGCTGCTGCACCTTCTAGGAAAGGTCTGTGGTTGTGCAATGCACCGTCCTCATGCAGTGCGATGTTTCCTTGGCTTGGGGGGACTTTCTTAGGCTTGGTGGTTCCCTCCACGCTCAGTCATGGGTGCCCCTCTTCCTCTGGTTCCCCTTAACCTGCCACTCCCCAGGTTTCATGAGTTCTGCATCCGTGGCTGGTGCATTGTTGGGAAGAAGCAGACGTGTCCATACTGCAAAGAGAAGGTGGATCTCAAGAGGATGTTCAGTAATCCGTATCCTTTCTCCTGCTGGGAGCCAGCACTGTGGGAAGGAGAGCAGTGGGTAGAGCACATAAAGGGGTGAGAGGCTCATCTTACCCTGGGTAAGCCACTGCAGCCCATGACAGTGGCAGAGACCCTGCAAAACCCAAGGCAAGCCTGGCCACAGCTTTCCCTCTGTGGGGACCCCTGTCTGTCCTTCCCTGGGTGCCGGTGTCCGTCCCTCCCTGGGCACCTTTGTTCTCTGTCCCTGCTTTGGGGGACCTTTGGGTGGCTCCTGGGTGGGCTGTGCTCCTCTCACCCATCTCCCCACGGCTCTTTAACTCCTTCCTGCCCAGCTGGGAGAGGCCTCACGTAATGTATGGGCAGCTGCTGGACTGGCTGCGCTACCTGGTGGCCTGGCAGCCGGTGATCATCGGACTGGTCCAGGGAATCAACTACATCCTGGGGCTGGAGTAAGCGCAGGCGGTGGGAGCCGCAGAGCCACGAGAGGACGCGTGCCCAGGGCCGGGGACAGTTGCCACCGGGGATGCTGGCTTTGCTCCATCGCCTCTCAGGACCTCGGCCACCCCTGAGGACAGCAGCATTGGGGCCCCTCCTGCCAGAGCTGAGGGAGGATTTTTTTAAAAAGCAATTATTTTAATGAGCGTATTTAAAACTTTCTATTGCAGCTGAAAAGAGACACTCGTCCCCTTTCCCTGCCCCTCTCGGGTCCTTCGCAGCACCCCGCTGGGCTGAGCTTTGGGCTGGGGGCTGTTCTCCAGCTCCCTCCTGCCGCTCTGCCGGGGGAGGCCATGGGGAGAAGGGCCGAGGCTTTGCCGGCTCCGACGCTGGCACCCCGGAGCAGCCTTGCTGGCAGCGAGGATGGGATATGGGGGCTGCAGAGGAGAGGCTGGAGCCCAGTGCCCTGAAAGAGGGGACAGAGGGATGCCTGGCAACCCCAGGCTGCTGGGTCCCCTTCTGGGTGCCATGGGTGTGCCGGGAGGAACCAAGCTGCTCGCTGGCACGGTGATGGTGGGCTCTGTCTCGGGGAACCCTTTTATATGCTCCCAAATTTTCTATGTTTCTCCCTGAAGGCCAGCGTTGTCCCCTGGCTGTTCAGGGTTGTCAGCCAGGGCATGGAGTGGGACCGGTGCTGTTCCTCTCTCTGCGCCCTTTTGGGTGACGGCGACGGTACATCAAGAGCAGCCCAGGAGTGGGTGCCCCTGCCCCAGGGTGCGGGGGCCTCCTCGCTGGGTGTTGCTCTTCTTGGCACTGGAATAAAAGGGATGGAGCGAAGGTTGGGCTGGTGCTGGCATTTCCTTGCCCCGGCATTGCACCATGGCATCCTCCTGGCCATGCTGGTGGGAGCCGTGCCACAGTCCTGCTGGTGTGAGGGGCTCAGGCTCATTTTTTGGCACTGGGTGGGGGCAAAGTTCCCCGAGGGCCAGTGGTGGTGTTTTGGCATGCAGATACTTGAGCCATATCGTCTGAGGAGACTGGGGTCTGGTGAGGGGCTATGAGGCAGCTCCTGGCTCGGGGGATTTGGGAAGTGGCCGCAGCAGTGGCATGGCTGTGGGCACCATGTGGGCTGTGTGCCCCCCTCCCCCAGGGAACCCCAGCGCCCTGCTGCGTCATCTGGGTTTTCTTTCGGGGGAAACCACATTGCAGTGTCGTGCCAAACACCGAAATAAGAGTCCTGGAAATGGAGACGTGGCACTGGGTTTTTCTTGATCGTCTTCCCTGCTCCAGGGTGAGGCCATGGTTCCTCCTTTCGGCTCTCCCGGGGGACAGATATCGTGTGGATGGCAAACAAGCACCTGTGGCACCCAGAGCTCGGCTGGTTGGTGTTGGTGGGAGCAGGGAGGTGGCAGAGGAGCACAGGGCACTGGGTGCTGCCATGAGAGTGGCCTCTGGCCCGTCGCTGCCCACTGGACACCCGTGGGTGCTGTGGGGAGGATGTGGCTGCTGACCTCATCCCAGCAGGAGGACAGGGACTTGGCAGGTCCCCAAGATAAACATTCCTGTTCCCGCCACCTTTCTGCCTTGCTGGGAACAGGGATAACGAAACTCGCTGGGAAATTAGGGACTTTTTACCAGGCAGTGCCAGGGCCTGCAGCTGTGCCTGCGCTGGCTCCTGGCCTTGAGGGTGCTGGGGAACGGGACTGGTGGGTTGTTGAAACCATGTCTGCTGCCAAGGAGCTGGCTCAGGGGATGAGGGGGCTCTGCTGTGGGACAGGGGAGAGGGTCCCTGTCCTGCCCTTGCTCAGGCTTCCCACGGCCAAGCGCCAGCGTGAAGCCTGGGTTGGGTCCTGGGGGTTCCTCTCTGCTAAGCTGTTGCCCTGCCCCAGCTGGGACACCCGGGGGTCAGCAGCCAGGGCTCCCCCCACCCGCTGTGCATGCTCAGTCCCCCGGGGGCTTAACCCACCTCCCTCTCCTCTTGTGCAGACCCTGCCTTGCCCCTGCCCCCAGAGTGTCAGGGGGCAAACCCGCATGTCCCAGAGTCCTGTGACGCCCCTTGGCTCAGGCAGTGCCCCATGCGATGGACACGGGGGCCCAACCGAGCCCTGCTCCTTCATCCCTGGGGGGGCCCATGGGTGCTCGCCCAGGAGCGGGTGGGACACACGGTGTGCTGATCATGGGCTTGCCTGAGGGACCTTCGCCGCAGGTGTAGGGACATGGAGCCTAGGGGGCGTGGAGTGCTGGGGACAGCGGGCACGTTCTGGGAACTAGGGGACATGGGGGCACTGGCCCTATGGACACGCAGCGGGGCCAGTGCGGGTCCCTGTGTCCTGCCATCGCGGCACGTCGACGGGGCCGGGGGCGGCTCGTGGTGAGTCACGGCGCTGCCGCTCGCCCCGCCCCGGGGCCGCCCCATAAAGCGCCACCGCCGCAAGCGCCGCCGCCCCATGGCTGAGCCACGGTCTGCCCGTACGGAGCGGTGGGGGACAGCCCTGGGGACACCAGCCGCCATCTGAGGGACCCCGGGAGGGGGATGCCGGGGGGAACGGGACCATCCCAGGGGCTCATGGCATGCTGGGGAGGCGCTGGGTGGATCATGGTTAACTGGGGGGATGCGAGGGGACGGGACTATCCCAGGCTTGGGGAGTACTGGAGGGGGACGCTGGGGAGACCATGGCCTGCTGGGGGGAATGCTGGGGAGATGCGAGGGGACGAGCCCAGGGGTTGCTGGGAGTAGGTGCTGGGGGGACCGTGACCAGCTGGGAGGATGCTGAGGGGACAGAACCATCCCAGGCTCGTGGGGAGCATCCCGGCATGTCCAGCACTGAGCTCCATCTCTGCCTGCAGGGCTCCTGGGACTCCCTGCCTTGCTCCTCCTGCTTCTGCCCTGCTGGGCCCTGGCTCTTCCCTGTGCAGGTAGGTGGGGGTTTCTGGGTGAGCCGGGGAGGCCAGGTCACCTCTGGGCTCTGTGCCCCTCGAGGGGCCTGTGCAGGGTTCTGGGGGTGAGGAGTGCTCCCATCCCTCTATGGCACTCTGCCCCCTCACCCACCCCAGAGATGTGGGGTCTCAGAGGGTCGCTCTTGACCTCCTGCCTTACTCCACTCTGCTCCTCCAGGTGCCATGGCCCTGCAGCTCCCCACCATCACCATCCTGCGGATGCCAGCAGAGGCCCCCTGTCCAGGTGAGAGACCCCTGGGGCCATGGCAGGGATGGCCTAGGGATGGGGAAGCTGCAGTGAGCCCCCCAGTTGGGGGAGGCACAGTGGGGTCAGCTCCTGCGCCAGCACCCGGCACACACACAGGGCGCATCTTCCACCCACAGCCAAGATTTTGGGTTGCTGATGAGGTGGGGGGACATTCTCTGTTGTTGAGGGGTGTGGGGGGACTGTGACTGTGGCCAGCCTGAACGGGGGGGCACTGGGGACCCTTGCAGCCCCCCTGATCCCCACGTCCCCTCCGGCTGCAGGCGAGAGCGTGACGGTGTCATGTGAGGCGACAAGTGGGCTCCCAGAGCTGACGCTGCTCTACTGGCTGGGGAACAGCTCCTTTGTGGAGAGCCTGTACCCAGATGGGGCCGTGTACGAGGGGACAGTGCAGTGAGTATGGGGACAGGGGACATGGGGGGGCAGAGGCAGCGGGGTGGCCCCGGTTGGGGCAGGGACCCTGGATCTGCCAGCCCAGGGTGGGCACTGATGGGTCCCCCCTGGGTCTGCAGAGAGGAGCTGCGGGGCTCGGGGGCGGCCCTGCGCCGTGACCTGCACTTCAGCTCCTTCAACACCCAGCACCTGCTCACCAACTTCACCTGCGTGGTGCTCAGCCCTCTCGGTGTGGACACCAGGGAGGTGCGATGGCCCCAGCCAGCACCAGCCCCTGTCACTGTCAGGAGTGGGGGGCTGGGCTGACACCAGGGAGCACCTCGTGAGGGGTCCCTGCTCCAACAGCCCCGCACTGCTGTGTGCGTGTGTGACACCTCCATGGAGGCCCATCTCCGTGACCTGCTGTGGGGACCACATGGCCCCACATGTGCCACCCGCTGAGCCTGGGGCTTCTGGTGCCTGGGCCGACCCCGGCCCTGCCTGTAGCTGGCTATGGGACCCCAGGGTTTATTAAAGTACATTGAGGCTGCCCCGTTGTCACCTGCATCCTGGGGATGGTGCTGCCCATGAATGCACAGGGCACCTGTGGGATGAGGAGGGAGGGAGAGGAAGTGGCCCTGGTGCCTACAAAGGGCAGGATCCATTTCTGACCCCCACCCTGCCTGACGAAGTGCTGGAAAACCATGGTCAGTCCCAGTTGCCCAGGGAATGCCTGGCCCTATGGCTGTGCCCTGCCCCAGAGGAAGAGGGTATGTGGGGAAGCCCTGAGATGCAGGGACCCCGGGGAGATAGGCCCATCCCATCCCGCTCTGCACCTGGGGGAAGCTGGGGCTGTCCCCCAGCATGGCATTGCTGAGCCCCACCTTCTGTTCCATGGGGCAGCCCCCCTAACCATGCTGTCCTGGCAAGGCTCCTGCTCTTGGGTACTGGGGCTGGGGTCGCTGGTGCCAGCCCCCTCCCTGCTACCTTGTGTGCTCGTGGGGGCTGTGGGACAGCCTGGACCCCCTGAGCAAGTCTGGGCTGCAGGCATTGCACTGTAGCACAGGATGTGGGAGGGATAGAGAGGGCTGAAGAAGCCCCCAGCTGCAGCCCCCATGAGCTGCCCTCAGTCCAGAGAATCGCAGGAGACTCCTGGGGACACCCCTGTCCCACAGCTACTCTTAGGAGCCAGGAGAAGGTGAGCAGCAGAGCAGCCACCTGGGCAGGGACCTGCCCAATACAGCCCTGCTGCACCCCCAAGCCCTGTTGATGCCAGCCCCCATCCCTGGGACAGCCCCACGCTCAGCTGCATCCTTCCACCCATCCTGATGTCTTCCTGTTGGGGTCGAGGTCCCGCCAGTTTTGGGGGCTGTCAGTGGCCGGGTCCTGGCCAGCAGATGCTCCGCAGAGGGCAGAGCCCCTGAGGGAAGCCCACAGAGGCCGAGGTGCTGTGGACAGGGAAGGTTACTCTGTGAGTGCCTGGGGAGGTGGGGCTGCAGGAGCAGGGCCAGCTCAGGGAGGGTGGCGGGGCTTGGGAGGCGGCTGTGGAGAGAGGCAGGGCAGGCTGGGGGAAAGCACCCCCAGCTCCATCTCTGGCCAGAGCCCCTCCTTGGCACATGTCCCATCACCAACCCAGCCCCCAGTGCTGGCACTAGCTGAGACCTGTCCTGCTGTGTCACCCACCAGGAGCAACCCCCTTGGGATCCCAGCCAGAAGTGTGTCCTGAGCCTCATGGGTGCGGGTCAGGGTGCTCCTGACTGGGGGTGCGGTGCTTGCACCAATCCATCTCATGCTGCTGAGGACACAGTAGGTTGTGGCTCAGATCAGCAGCAACATTCTCCCAGGGAACCCCTGTGTCTGCACAGCACGGCACGGAACACTTGGAGGATCAGAGACAAATGGGGCCAACACTGGGGTGGCAGCCCATAGCTGGGCCCCCAGCCTCACTTCCAAGCCAGAGTGAACCCCCAAAACATCATCACTCATCTGGCTGAGCCACCTCTGGCTGCTCCTGTGACAGCCTTGGCTGTGCTCACCCGTCACCCCACACACCGGCAGGGTTCCTGTCCCTCGGGAGCAGGGTCCATGTCCCTTGGGAGCAGGGTTCCTGTCCCTCAGGAGCAGGGTCCATGTCCCTCGGG